TTTTTTGACATCCCAAAGGGGGGGGGGGGCGGACCGGGCCGCCCCACCCTAAATCCGCCCCTGATTAATAAAGTTTTAAGCTGGGCACTTACTGAGTCGTACGATGAATACAACTCCATTACCTGCGAGCACTTGACGACGCGACACCGTCTGCCAATCTTCTTGCAATTTGCACTAATCGTCATTAAAACTGATTCGTTGCGCGCGCGTCGTGCGGCCGCGTTCACCATAAAACCGTCGACCGTCGGGAGCAGTGAGTGCCTGACTATAGGTCTATCATGCTTATTAATACATCAATGATTGAGTCACAGATTATTATTTCCATTATGTATTTACACTACTTTCTTTATATTCAATGTAAATCCATGCAGACGACCCTTGTCTACCAGAGCCTTGTCGTAATGGGGCCACATGCTCAATCAACAACGACAATGCGAATTGTACATGTGTACCTGGTTTTATAGGTTTATTATGTGAAATAGGTGAGCTGTTTGCTGAATCATTGTGTTCTTAACACCAGTTGTCATGTTGAGTGACTTTTTGAACTAACATTTAACTTTGTCTAAACCAATACCAGCCAAAAATGAGGGTAAAATTGGCGTACAGTATTTCAAAAATGATATTTTTATGTTTTCAGATTGTACACAAAGTCTACTTTACAACAGTGTTTAAACCATTAAAATCCGTTGAGAAATAACCGAGATATGATTAAAATTAAATGGATGAGACGGAATATTTACGCCTATTTCGGCCTCTCAATTTTACACACCGCTACTTTACTCTCATTTTGTAGAGGCAGAGGTCTCTGTACTTCTCTCTCACACATTACTAACATTGATATTGTCCAAAAAAATAATTATTCATATTTTAGGTCAGGTATCTTGTACAGAGTGCCGATTGTTTGATTTACTAACATTTCTGTTTGATAGGCTCTAATTTATTTTTATTTACGATTAACCTGAAGTGTAAAATAACAATTATATGATGTGGCATGTCACAACCTAACAGGATTCTCATAAAAAAAATGTGAGTATTATTTTTCTACTAACATATCTAACAACATCATCATGTTTCTATAAATTATTAACAGTAGTCTATTTTTTAAATGCTCTGTCTTTGTTTGCGCAGATTAGTTAATATAAGTTAATAATTATAAATGTGCAAACTTCGATACGTGCCTGTCCCACATGCGCACGTGATTATGTACGTTTACACTGTCGCTTTGTGGTAACAATATCCATTTAACTGCTTTGTTTTGACATCTATAAGATACAAAATAAAATAATGCATCCGACTTCAAGTCTTCTATCTATAATCTGCATCATATTTAACTGTCCATTGCTGTGAGCCCGTCAATGGAACCATGGCATATATTTCCGCACCCCCTCATACCGTAATGCTTGACAGGGAACCGGAACGTAGGCAAAGCTTATTAAATCATAACAGTTTCTAAATAACTGAATTAATACGGTAGTCTATACTTTTATACAAAAGATAGGCCTATGAAACAAAGTAAGCAAAATTGTACAAATTTTTGTCAAATACTCAACTTATTTATAATCTTACAACCACCTTAAAACGTATGTTATTGTTTTGTCATCGAATGATTATAATTACACACAATAATCAATGTCTCTATTCCACCATTCATAGTTGATTATTGTTACGATGTTCCGTGTTTAAATAACGCCACCTGTACCTTGAGTGGTTCGGGATATACGTGTTCTTGTACACCTGGATTCATAAGCACTAATTGTGATATAGGTGAGTATACTAGTTTAGGTTAAGTTCCTAATACGACTCTAATGCGTACTATCTGCTTTCATGATGTGATACTGTAGTCCGTAAAATAAGAAAATCCACCTAACAAGTTTGCTTTTAAAAGAAATTATATATTTTTAATTACCTAAATTTCCTATTGGTTATGTTTTTGTTATTATAATTGTTATTATTAAACTTCACGTTAGCTTAAGGGTTTTGTCTTGTCTTGACATACGGTAATTTAATTGGAAAGTAAAAAGAAATACACTTTTACTAATGCTATAATTATGCGTTTCAAACTGAGCAGTATTATTTTATTGATTAACTTTCTTTAATAATATTATATTGTAATATGATGAATGCTTCATATTTATTTTTCTAGAGGACTTTTGTTTTAGTAGTCCCTGTCAAAACGAAGCAAATTGCAATCTACTAAGTGATGGATACGAATGTCAATGCACTGATGGATTCCTGGGAATTTTCTGTCAAATAAGTGAGTAAATGACAACCTCAAGCATTTTTTATAATTCAATTTAGCTTATGTGGCAATAGCAATAGGCCTATACTAACCACAGCTAAAAGAATAATACAACATCAATGTTAGATTAGAAAATTATAAGTGATTTAACCATAAATACCGTGTATGGCATGCTTTGTTATGCCATAAGCTTATATCTAAGACATTTTGATTTGTTTTAGTGGATTTTTGCTTCAGTAATCCCTGTCAGAATGGAGCAACGTGTCTTCTGCTTAGCAATGAGTATACTTGCGTGTGCATTGATGGATTCATTGGGACGCATTGTGAAATAGGTAGACAGAATCCTTAAAACAATTTTCAAATTGTAATTTTCATCTAAATATCTATGATATTTATGTGTATGTGTACAGAAGATAACATAATTTTGTTTCCGTCTACAGATGACCACTGTTTTAGTAACCCGTGTGTGAATGATGCAACGTGTTCATTATCACAGGATTCTTACGAATGTCATTGTACTGATGCGTTTATTGGCACTAACTGTGAGATTGGTAATTTACATTTCTCGTTAGTTTTGTCAATGTCTTCCGTTTGAGTTAATTAGTTGTAATGCTTCGATAAGAATTGTAATTCAAGATAGATGAACATATTAAAAAAAATTGAAAACTTCACAAAATCAAGTAATGATTCGTTGATTATGATGATGATGATAATTTTGATTATAATTATTAATGCTCATGAAAATGGCAATGATACTGATGACGATAATTTTTTTTTATCAGAAAATTTTTGTCAAAGCGATCCTTGTTTCTTTGGTGGAAATTGTACTTTGATTGCTGTAGGATATGAGTGTGAATGTACTGAAAATCACCTTGGAGAAAACTGTGAACTTAGTGAGTTTGATTAATATTAGTCACATACATTTGAGGTAGGCCTATTTATTGCACAATCAAAACATAAAAATATCATACAACAGCAGTCAAAAAAAGATTGACTGAAAATGTAATATTTACAAAATTACAAAATTGCTAAAAATTAATCAAAGTTCCAATATCAAAAAATTATATTTACAAAAAACAGAAACAAAAAAAAAACAAAAAAAATTGGCATACGGATTTTCAATACAGATGAATTTTCATGCTAACTAGTTTAAAATATAATGTTTGACCATTGTTTTTCATCAGCCGATTACTGCTTTAGTGACCCTTGTTCTAATGGTTCACCTTGCACCCTGATGCCTGGTGGTTACTCGTGCAATTGTAGCACTGGATACGTCGGGCTCAATTGTGATGTCTGTAAGTGCTTTTGATGATATTTAGTAAAAATAGTAAATTATTTTGCTTTTTCATAAGAGAGTAATAATAGTGATTATAATAACAATGACGACAACAATGATAATGGCAGTGATGGTGATGTACTGTATCATCATCGTCATCATCATCACCATGATAATCATAATAATAATAATCATCATCATCATCATCTCAAAGATAATAATATTTTCAATTAATAATACAGTAATAAAGGCAGATTCAGTATTGACTGCTAATAGACCTAATTGTAATTTTATCAAATTAACCAAACCTTAGAAATATCAATTTTAGGCCTACAGTAACCCTAGATATTTAAATATTAAAAATTTAATACTTTATAGTACTACCTTTTGCTAAGGATATTAACACATGTTTACTTTTACGGTACGGTACTTTTTCAGATGACTTATGTATAAGCTACCCATGTCAGAACGGTGCTAGTTGTATTCTTAGTAACTATGGAGCGTACAGTTGTCAATGCGATAGGGGCTTCCTCGGAACTCATTGTGAATATGGTATGTAACTAATAATAGGCCTAATATTAATGTATATCATTTGGAACGGACATTAAGCCGTTTGTCCTTTGTATCTGGCTCACTTTAGATGGGTACACTAATCGGGAATCAGTACATTTTCCATATAACCCTGTATATGTAAATGTCACGTGTTAGTAAATTAATTGATAAGTATGATATGGATATACATTAATACCAAGTTTCTAACAGTCACCGTCCGAAACCTGCTGACCACTTTCACTTGTATTCCTGACCCTCCTCTACCTTCTTCTCTGCGATTCAACCATTATTGTTTATTCGTATATAAAATGGTAAGACTTAATATAATTATGTTTTTCTTACAGTAAATTACTGCATTGATGAACCATGTCATAACGAGGGACAGTGTACCATAACAACAACCGGCTTTACTTGTCAATGCCAAGTGGGCTTCATAGGCATCACATGCGAATCATGTAGGTTATTAAATTAATGTAACGTTACTGCATGCAAACTGCAACCTTCTGATAAGATTTAATGCAATTTGTCAAAACAACTAAGACAAACAATAACACTAAGTCAAACAACAACTTGTTTGGTTTCAGTCAATTACTGCTTGTCATCACCTTGTCAGAATGGGGGTGTATGTAGTGTGACGTCATCAGGATTTTCATGCAGGTGTCCTCGCCTCTGGACAGGAATCACCTGTACCGAAAGTGAGTCGGAGTTATATATTGCAATATTGTCTTGTGTAATAAAAGTCGTAGGCATACCCCAGGAGTGCTCTACTTCACAGGTCGCACTGCTGGTAATGAATGTTTACTTTTTCGTTTTAGAAATGCCATGTGATTCTTCACCTTGTGTAAATGGCGGTCAATGCAGTCTTTCAAGCTCAGGGTTTGCCTGTGCATGCCCTGCAGGTTGGACTGGTACAACATGTTCAGTTGGTATGTAAATATTTTTGTGGAAATATTTTTCAAGTATACCATTTAACTTTGGCACCCGGTTAAATTGCATCCGCTGCTCTCATTGTTTTTCGGCTGGAAAGCCGAAATGCCGAAATGCATGGTATGTAAAGAAAAGCGCACTGCCCTGTAGAAAGGGACGTTGAAACCGCTATTCCCATATGTACGTTAAAATATCGCAGTCCACTCGTCAGAAAAGAGTAATGGATTGACTGTCGGTGTATTGCCTTTTCCCTACCAGCAGGACCGTAATGGAAATGAGTTTTTGACTTCTGTGGATTTCATAACAAATAAATTCTATCCAATCCATCGTGGTTGTTGTTGCCGTCGCCGCCGCCGTCGTCATTATTATTATAACAATAATATAATATAACAATAATATATAATAATAATAATAATAATAATTATTATTATTATTATATTATTATTGTTATTGTTATTATTATTATTATTATTATTATTATTATTATTTATTATTATTATTATTATGATAATACCGGTATTTATAGAAGTCACACGCATAGCGAAGCAGGTTTTATTTTCACTGGGGCTGCTGATTTATTTCCTTATTGATATATTTCCTAGCTTATATGTAACATTTGTAACCAATATTAATTTATGACCTTTAAACATTTTATTATTTTTCAGTAGGTACTGTGAGACAGCAATCCTCGATAATCGGGGCCAAGAGGGCGACAGACAACATCCATAAAAATAATATATATCACTTTTTTTTATTGTTTATAATGTTCACATAATTATATATATTATTTTCATTGATATATTATTGTAGAGTTTCTTTGCCATTTATTATATTAGTGTATTAGCGTCTATAGCACTTGCACTTACCCCAACATGTTCTCCTGCTTGCTTTCTTGTTGCAATTTTGCATTTGCTTTATTATGTAGTATGAATCTTCTTAGAAACAATGTGTTGCTTTCCATATTAGGATAAAATCGATTTGTTTTAGGCCATATGAATTCAATATAATATTTCTATTGTGTTAAAATGCTGAATATAAAAAGTTTTAAATCTATAATACAATGGTTTTTTTTAATACTCTTTATTAAACAAGAGGCAAATGTATTATTTTTAGTTATATTCGAATTATTAAAGTATTGTCTCAAATAAATACTGATGAATTAAAATTTTGTAAAAAGTAAATATTTCCCAAAACATTGTGTGAAGGTTTGCATTGCAAATAATATACATATATTTCCCAGCTACAAATTTACTTTATAATAATTTTACGCTATGGTAACGTTTAGTTATAACGTAATTTCCAAATAAATAACGCTCACCAATAGTCTTCTTGCATTTAAAAGTGCATTGTACAACAATAACGTACGGTATGTGGTCTCTTTTTAGATGCTGGGAATCCTTGTGGAAGCAGTCCGTGTATAAATGGAGGGGATTGTGAACTGGTAAATTCGAACACAGCCTACATATGCACTTGTCCTCTGGGTTGGTCTGGCACTCATTGTGAAATTGAAAGTAAGTATGGTAATAGATCTGATTCTGGTGGATAAAGTGTAGGAGTATAACAAGAGGTGTATAAATAGTGTCAAACTATAGGAAAAGTCCACCACCGCGGTATAAGACGCGCGCGTGGCGTCAGTCTTGTGTCGGCTCTGGTTCCGGACCTCCTAAGGAATCTCTAGGAGTATAACATATTATGAAAAGGAAACTCATTATGTAACAATTCTGAAAAGCAGTCCTCTTCAAATTTTGTGTAATCTATAGTAAACATTTAAGAGAAAATAAAAACTAATATTTAGTACCGGTAAATGATATGATAGACTGATGAATAATATTTCAGTTATTCGCTGGTTTAGCAGGAAATATGTTCAAAGAATGAGTGATGGTGGCCAGAAACTTATTTGGTTTTTATTTGAAACATTCTCAGAGGGGTTGTATACTGTAAACTTTAATCAGAAATAAATGGGAAAATAATATTCCAGTGAACATCTAGTGATTTTATGTAAACACTCGGTAACTTTAATAAGATTAGTTATTTTAGCAACAATAGCTTCAATTAATATAAATTTTGTGTAATATTTATGATGTTCGTTTTGTACTTATTTCTAACAGTTGCAGTAAACCCATGTTTAAGCTACCCGTGCTTGAATGGAGCATTTTGTCAAAATAATGTTACGTCGTTCTCCTGTATATGTAATACAGGGTATTTTGGAACTACCTGTGAAATGAGTAAGAAAGGAAACTTTATTGATCTTTTATCACATTTTATACAATTATACTGTAAACTTTAATCAGAAATAAATGGGAAAATAATATTCCAGTGAACATCTAGTGATTTTATGTAAACACTCGGTAACTTTAATAAGATTAGTTATTTTAGCAACAATAGCTTCAATTAATATAAATTTTGTGTAATATTTATGATGTTCGTTTTGTACTTATTTCTAACAGTTGCAGTAAACCCATGTTTAAGCTACCCGTGCTTGAATGGAGCATTTTGTCAAAATAATGTTACGTCGTTCTCCTGTATATGTAATACAGGGTATTTTGGAACTACCTGTGAAATGAGTAAGAAAGGCAACTTTATTGATCTTTTATCACATGTTATACAATAGTTCTATAATGCACAGGCGTACTCTAGGGCCTATGCAAATAACATCTGCCTCAGGTATCGATGACATGGCTTCTTCCGATATCAGACTTCAGTGCGACCTTCTTTCGTATATATATATATATATACATATATATATTAAGAGGTCAACCTTTTAATATCATATACTCACACAAAACAACCATTAACACAATATGTTTTTAATCCCTCAAAGACTGCAATAGTATAGAAGAAAACACGCATTTGACGTTTTATTACAAAATATTTATTACAAAATACGACGGAGAGTTATTACAAAATACCGTCAGTTCTGTTATAACAAAATACGACAGATTTAGCCTACGGTGTATTACAAAATACAACAGATTTTATTACAAAATACGACGTAACAGGTTTATATACAACTAGGGCCTTGTTATTAGGCCTACACCATAAATCTCTCTGGAATATAATATTGTATGCAACTATAATTGAGTTGCCGATAGTGACGTTTATAGAACTATATCTTTTGATACAATAATTCAATGTGCACATATTTTAAATCATATGATAGTAACTCTGGTATGGAGTTACACCTGTACTGTGATTTACTAGTATTTACGATATTTTTTTTTTCAGATGACCCATGTAGGTTCCCGTTATGTGAAAACGGTGGTACTTGTATGCCAATTTCTCAAAGTACATACCAGTGCGAATGTCCTTCGGAGTACAGCGGTCCTAGGTGCGAGCAAGGTAAATAAGTGTTGTCCTCCAAAATAGTTGTTGAAACACACTTGTAATGTTTATAATGATTTATTTATTATTATTGTATAGTGTGATCCATATTGAATAATGAGTGTAACCCTCATCAATCAATCAATCAATCAATCAATCAATCAATCAATCAATCAATCAATCTCACTAGTATTCATACGTATTCCCCCGCGTCGGGAGCATCCCCCCCCCCCTTCGGGGACCTTGGACCTCCTGTCGGGCAAAATCCTGTCGCCACCCCTGTTCTCGTCTAATATTTTGTAGACTCGTGTTATTGTAAAATTGTTTTTATGATATTTTAAAAGACATAAACAGAAACTCAAAATATGCCGGTAGTTTGTAAGACATTTAAAAGAATGGTGCTACGATATATTTCTTCCATATCTGTGCACGCGTCTGGATGGTATATCGGCGCAAACGTATTGTCCTTACTCAATTATATGATGATGATAGTATATGATGATGATGATTAACCAATGAATACAACAACAGATAATCATTAAGAAAAATATCTTGCTAAATACACAAACTGAGTCTCTTAACGATGGTGATAATGATGATGTTGATGGTGATAATGATGGTGATGATGATGATGATGATGATGATGATGATGATGATGATGAAAATGAGTATAATGATGATGGTGACGTTGATGATTATATTGATGATAATGAGGATGGCACAAAAGAATAATACATAAGATATAGTCTAGCCATAGTCATGTGATGTGTCGTAATTCATTCTTCGCTATTCGTTACACCTTCTCTTACTTTCTCTTACAATTATAATACAATTCGTTGACAATTAATTTTATTTGTTTCAGTATCTGACTTGTGTGTGAATAATCCATGTCATAATGGCGGTGATTGCACTTCAACGGGAACAAGCTATTCCTGTACTTGTGTCGCTGGGTACATTGGTACTAATTGTGAAACATGTAAGCATAATCATAAAGTTAATGTTGACGTCTGACAGGTTGTGCTAGGCCAAATATCTAGCGCACTTAGTCGGACCTTTATATAATATAATAATACAGTAATTAATATAACAATAACAAATAAGATAATAATCATTTGTTCTAGTATCCGACCCGTGTGCGACTAATCCGTGTTTGAATGGTGGTGTATGCAGTTCATCAGGAACAAGTTATATCTGTTCTTGTACGGTTGGGTATACCGGTACTAATTGTGACCAAGGTAAGCATATCCACAGACTAAGGGTTGGTGGAGGGCCATGAAATTAGCTTTAGACTGGGTGGAAAACTTCGAGGCTTGGTTGCCCCGCCCACCTCCACCCACCATAACTACATCCCCGATATATTTTCATATATGCATAATACATACACGATTATAATAGACATACATGTTTATATATTTTCTTGTATAGGCTATATATATTTATGTGGATAATACATAATGTGTATAAGAGACAGATATTAGTTATATTTTTTTTTTTTTTTTTTTTTTTTTTTTTTCAGCCTCTGACGCGTGTGTGAATAATCCGTGTTTGAATGGTGGCATATGCAGTTCATCGGGAACCAGTTATATCTGTACTTGTGCCGCTGGGTATACTGGTACTAATTGTGACCAAGGTAAGCATTCTAACATAGACCTTTAGATCACACGTTGGCGTCAGATGGGTGCTGCACACACTACACCTTTGCTCTAAGCTTGTCTTATTGTGTTTATGATTTTGCGATAAATTGTTAAAGACAGTAAAACAATTAATGGCATAGGATTATCATGTCTCCATTCGGAATCTTTGCTCCAAGTGATATACTGCCATGGATCTAATTATTTCTCAATGTATGGCGTAAGCAATGGAGAAATGCCTCAATG